ATCGCAACTTGGAATGACTCACTCAAAGTCATTCCTTCAGCATGGATGTCGTGCACGATTAGTTGAAACTTTTACACTTGAGACACAACGGTTTTGGAGTCGACCATCTTGAAGTCATGAAACTTGTCGATGACGAATTTATTCGCTCCGGCATCTTCAGTCTTGTACTACTTCTCCCAGGCAGCCCAAAGCTCTTTGGCATAACTGATCGAGCTATACACATTATACAACTCGTTACTAAATCCATTAAGGACGTAGTTCCAGCAAAGCTAGTCACTTTGCCCCCAAGTATCGTACACAACATGTAGTTCAATATTTGTCTCATTTTCAGCAACAACAGGGGGGGTCCTCCTTCAGGTACTTCACCAAACTCAAAGTGGTTCGGTAAAAATGCATCTTCTGCTGCCACCTCTTGAAGTCGAGCCTGTTGAATTTTCTGCAGTTGACACATGAACAACAGGTACGGAATGATGATATGGAACAACATTGTTGATCTGTTGGTAAGGCTGTTGAGCTTGTTGAGTGTTCGAAACATCTCAAGTAGATGTCATCAGTTCAGTAGATAGATATTTGTATTGCAATTATAACAAAACTGAGTGTTGAGTACAACGGGAAACCTATGAACTGAAAATGATCTTTTCTAGTTCTTATAAAAAAAACTGGAAATAACAATGTGATGCAATAAGATTATAGCCAAGGAAAAAAGATCTCTTTCCGCAAGACAAATATGGAGCCCGTACAGTGCTGATGGGACTGTGTGTCTTGTACCCAAAGATACAACGACAGAACGTCTTGGAAGCTGTAGCACACTAGATTTTGGAGCCCCGACGAACTAGAACAAAGCTAAGAATTGAGCAATGTATGTGATATGATGCGTGAGGCTTTTAAAAACAGTATGTAGATGATGTTATAGTGTGCTTCTACAACTCTACCATGTCTTATTTATAGGACTTTTAACCAATAGGGAATGACCAAAGGTCAGCTGCCACTAAAGGCAAGCAACATCATAGTCATGGCTGTTGCAATGGGCATAAAAAATTCAGATGTTAAGCATATCGTTTTCAGGTGTTCACACAACATTACTCCACCTGAAATGGTCAGGTGGAGTCAACATGTCCAGATGCAATGTATCTAAAGAGGTCTCACACGGTTTAAGTCAATACCCGAGTCCAAATCCAAGGTCAAGTCCAACACCGACCCAGACTGTCTAAAGCCGCCCAAGTCCAGCCCACAATCTAATTGCGAATTACCAAAGCCAAAGCCCAGGCCCGTGCCCGAGCCAAACCAGCAAACGCGAGCGTGTGGCCAAAGTGATCACTAACAGTTGGTACCTAGCTCTTTTGTTGTGATATCTATAACTCTCTTTATTATAATAAAGAGAATTACTTTCATTTAAGAGTACAATGTGGGATAACATTCTTAATTCTTTAAATCCGACAACCAACGTTCTACGTGGCCATTAAAGGCTATATAGTGTGCCCATTTGAATATTGGATTTTTCCAGATTTATTTTAATTATTGGCATCTTATTTTTATTATTTCTATCCCTTGATTATGTGCTTATATATTATATTATTGAGTGAATAATATAATTATGTATGTTTGTTCGAATTATTTTATTTATCGATTGTCGTTCGAATTTTCGGTTTAATCGCGTAACCCAAAATATTATCCGTTTTAATTCGGCCCTTTTTAAACCCAAGAAACCAGCCCTCAGCCCACGAGCCATAGCCAAGTGGCCCGGCCTTTGTATATTGTGAGCCCGACCTTTCTTTTTAAAGTCGATTTTTGCAAAACCCTTGGCTCGAACCCGAGCCCTTCAGATACCGCACCACCAACTCTCTTGTGCCTTATATGGCAAGTGTTGATAGCCCTAGGCTTATAAAAGCCAAGTTTCTTTTCCCCCAAGCCATTCTCTCTTCTCCCTCTTTTCTTTCTTGCGACGCCACCCTCCCTCCTCTCTCACCCTTCACGCAAAAATCAGAAATCTCCTCCCCCAACTCTCCAAACCCAATCGCCACCACGCCGGCGCCCTCCTTCTCTCGCGCGCGCGCATCTGCGAGGCCACTCGGAAGCTGCGACGACCCCCAGGCCTCTCCACGATCAAACCTCGACCAGGCAAGCCCCAATTGGTGCATCCACGACTAGAAGGACGTCGTCTAGTTGCTGCAGTCGACCCCAACCAGCCCCGTGATCGCGACGAGCCACGCGATAGCCGCCGAGGAGCCTTGTCGTTCATTCCATCGGAGTTTTCGCGATCTCTCCTTGAAGTACGTTAATGGGTGGCTATCCCTCGTCTTTTTGATGAAATATGATGTTATATGCTAGTCCTTGGTGATAGATATATGTGATATTGGTATTTTTAATTGATATGTTATGTAAATTCGTGTTGCGATCTATTCGGTTTATTAGAGAAATCGATGGATCATGTTTGATTTCGTGGAAACCTTATGAATTATGGAGCTTGGGTATGTCCTTGGCCTAATGGTTAAGGCCTTGGACTATTTTAATGTGTTTTGAATGAGTTATGAATTTTTAAAGTCGAGCATACTGCTGAATCTTGGAAAAATTATTAAAAATCGAATACATGGCCATTTTGTGTGAAATTTTAATGGGTGAACTTTCTGTTGGTAATGTCTCTGGTGTAACATTTTCAAGGCAAAACTCGCATGTGAGCTATGTGAACTGAGTAATTGTTGTTTTGGGTTGTTTCTGTATAAATTCATATAAAATCATATAGTTGTTCACATTAACTGATTTTCTGGGAATTAGAGTCTTGTATAATGTTCGGCATGTGGTTAAAATTTCAAAGGGAAATTCGTCCTATAGCATATTGAACCAGAAAACGTTTATTTTGTCCTCGTTTTTGCAAAAATTGTTTGAACTGGTTAGGAGTTGATTTAAGGGTCATCTTTGGTGTGATGATGTATTTTTGAGTCATTTATATGTGGTAAAAATTTCAAGTCATTGCCTCGAGCCAAAATCCAAAAGCTTCGGTCATTATTTATTACCAGTGCCACTGCCAGTGCCCAGCCAGCCGACCCTTAGCGCCCCAGCGCGCTTGCTGCGCGCCCAGCAGCCCTGTTCAGCGCTCGGCAGCACCAGGTTGAACCCGGTTTTAGTTTTTCCCGAGTCCTTTGACCTGTCTTTGACCCGTTAACCTCGTTTTTTGTGTCGAGTCTATTTTTGATGTTTTTAAATAGTTTTTCCGAGTCTAGTTGTCAAATCCAAGTATTTCAAACTTCACAAAGTCCACGAACTACTTAGTCGATGATGTTCGACTAAGTATGAATGTTTGTATATGATTCTAAGTATCAAGGTAGTATGTTTATAAGGCTATTTTGATATAGGTGTTTGACTACTCGAGCTCTCATCCTACACAACAAATCGTGCTTTCCTACTGCTTAAATTTCCAGATGGGTGAATTTAAATATATATGCCATAAGTTGTTTATATTTGTTGGATGGTGTGATCAATATATGCATGTGAACCATGTAACCTTCGATGTGTGTTGTTGCAGCCGTCGAACGGTTATCCCCGTCGATGTAATATGGGCCTAATGATAGGCAATCTCCCTAAGACCTAATGACAGGCCATGTCGTTGTGTGACCTAAGACCTTCGACATGTACTCCTACTGTTTCGGTGATGATAAGACCATCAGTAGCTAATGATAGATGTGCACATGAGTATTATGATGATTAGGAGATGTAATATATGATTTATTTGTGTTCATGTTGTGACCATGNTGCATGCTATGAAACCTGATGAATTGGTTTGTATTGATGCATTGCCTATGATGATTATGATGTTGGATAATGACATCATTGTGAAAACCGGACAATGAATCCCTGTTAATTCAGACCGACTTGAACTATTTTATGAAATGAATGAGTAACGTCGTTAAATGTGTTAAGTTGAAAAATGAATTTCTAAAAAAAAAAACAAATTAACTATGATTTTTAGAAAATTCCGGAATTTTGTTTAAAAATCAACGGGGCATTATAGGCTACCTTTTATCATTTATTTTTCTCTCACTGAAAATCAATTATGAATAAATAAATATACCACGAACGAGCACCTACTCGAAATTTATAATTGTTCTACAAAATTCAATTCAACTCAAATTAAAAAATCAGTCAAAATTTGATCAAACTCAATTTTATTTAACTGGTTTTCTAACAAATGCAGGAATGCAAAGGAATTTAACAAAACTTTCAATCTCGGTATACTTACTATAGGGATGTAAATGGGTCGGGTCGGGTACGGGTTTTGGCAAACCCAGACCCGACCCGTGTATAAATTACCCTACCCAAACCCGACCCGTTACCCGGTTAGTGATCTTCGGGTTCGGGTTGGGTTTTACCCGTCGGGTTAGCGGGTTTTCTTCGGGTAAACGGGTAACCCGAGTTCTTAAATTTTGGCTTTACACGATCCATCTCGTTTGATATGAAAAAATAAAATAAAATAATTTCACAATTAGTTATAATGTAACAAATAATTTATCAACTAAGTTTGACAATAAAAACTATAAAAAAAATATATTATTTTTGAAATAAATAATAAGATATAATTATTTAACTTTTATAGTCTATTTAATAATATAACACTTAAAAATTAAGTATTTAATTTTTTTATTGTACAATTAACAAAAAATGATAATAAAATAATAAAAATATAATAAAATTTAACCATTAATCAAAATTATAATAAATAATATAATTTTTAATATTAAATAACATATGAATACTTTTATATTTATAATAAGTTACAAATATATACTTATATATATTTATACGTAAAATTCAATGTGCGGGTAAACGGGTAGGGTAATCGGGTCGGGTAACGGGTTTTTCTACTATACCCGCACCCGACCCGACCCGGGGTTCGGGTAGCATAATTCTACCCGAACCCGACCCGAAGCCCGACCATCACGGGTTTACCCGACCCGAAAATGCGGGTAACCCGCGGGTAACCCGACCCTACGGGTTTTATTGACATCTCTAACTTACTACTTAAGAAAGGTGCAAACACAAAAGCAAACTCACTTGTACTACAGCAATGGTAAGTACGTTTTATACTTCAAAGCAATGGTAAGCACGTTTTATACTTCAAACTCATGAACAGCTACAACTTCCCAACGAACAGAATGAATTTTCAGAAAACTATGCTGGAAGTAAACAGAAGCAACAGGGTATACAATAACAATTATTCTTTCACCAAATAAGGATGAGATGAGACAAAAGGCAAAATTCGATGAGAAAAACATAACATAGAAAATCCAGATAACAAGAAATGTGCTTTATTTGCTTAGTCCTTGTACTTCATCTCAGACATTTTGAAGCCTGGCATGTCAAATGAGGATGCAAATTTCTCAACATCAGCTTTGAGCTCCTCAATGTCTTTGTTGTTGACGAGACCCTTGTTGAAATCCTTCAGTAGTTTGCCATGCTCCTTTTGGATCTTCAAGGTGATGGTCACAGCCCGATGGAGGAACTCAGCAATCTGCTCAAAGTCTTTCTCTACCAGTCCTCTCGATGTCATAGCAGGAGTACCTGAAATCAAAACATCGATGAATCCATTATCACCTCTTAAGTAAAAGATCGTAAAAACGTTGAGGACAAAAAAAAAAGTATTAATCACTCAGAAGGACAAAAAAACATGCTAATTGATTTTCCTTTCCGCCACCACCCTCACCCATCAATGGGCATTTTCAATTCTTGTTCTCTATTTCAAACTACGCCACATACTGATGGCCTAACAAAAAGAGGAAAAAAACCTCTTATCGTTCACTTTGGATCCCATTTACACTGTAAGTGCAGAGGATCCCCCGGAATTATTTGAAGTAGGATTTCCACTTAGTGCCAAGTAAAATAAATCTCAGATAAAAAATTTCAAAGCAATAAAAAAATGAAAACCACGTAATAAATGCACAAGACATGCAATAACATGATAGTGTCTCTCACCAATGCGAACCCCTCCCGGGGCCAAAGCACTGCTGTCACCAAAAACAGCATTCTTGTTTACAGTAATGTTGCATAAGTCACAGAGTTTCTCAACCTTGTTTCCTGAAAAGGAATTAGGATTCAATTAAAATATAAGTGCAGTTTAAAAGGAAAAAAGAAAAGAACAAACAAAAAATAACCAAATTTGTAGTTGAGTTGTTACCAGTCAACCCAAGAGGACGAAGATCCCACAAGACCAAGTGGTTCTCAGTTCCACCAGTGACAAGCTTATATTCTTTGCTCATCAAATAGTTCCCAAGGGCAACAGCATTGGCCCTGACTTGCTTAGCATAGGCCTTGAAACCAGGTGAAGTTGCTTGTTTCAAGGCAACAGCAAGTGCACCTATTTGGTGATTGTGTGGGCCTCCCTGAAGAGAAGGGAACACAGCAAAGTTGATCTTGTCTTCAAAGTCGTACACAGCGCCTTCTGCTTGGCCCTTCTTGGCCGGCTTAGGACCCTTCCTGTAGAAGATCATGCCTGCTCTAGGACCCCTTAAACTCTTATGAGTTGTGGTTGTTACCAAGTCACAGTACTCAAAAGGATCTGCTGCTTCCTGCCCTCATTCACCATATTATAACATGTTAATGTTATATTAATTGGTGCATATAGCAAGACAATGCATTCGGGGACCCACTATCTTAAATACTATTTGAGTTTTTCATTTCTTGATTGAACTACACATTGGCAAAAATAAAAATACAACATGTGTACAACATTGCATACAACTTGGGGCCTTACATTGATTGAGAGTATACAACAAATAGTATTAGGAGATCAATCACAAATAGCTTGGCTCCATAGAAACCACGACTGAGATGTAATTTCAAAAAAGGAAAAAATAGGGCCAATAACTATCAACAGCGGGAAATTAATAAATCCTACATCTGAACGTGGGAAAACAAGACCTACAACATGCCAATGATATTCTATTATTTGCGTAGAAGAAAACAAGCACATGGCAGAGGCACAACAAAATAGCACATGCATCGAAATGGAATAATGAAACCGCTGAAAATGTCCAGTTAGATCAAATGATCAATGATCCATTACAAGAATATTATCATAAGCAAAATATACAAACAAATCAAACTCATGATCTCATTTTTCTTTCCATATGTATGCATAAATGAAAAAGGACAAAATATCAATTAAGGACATGCATGTATACCTGAGCAGCAACAAGGCCACTGATATGAGCCATATCACAGAGCAACAGAGCTCCACACTTGTCCGCAATCTCCTTGAACCTCTTGTAATCCCAATCCCTTGGATAAGCACTCCCTCCACAAATAATCAGTTTGGGCCTGAAATCCATGGCCTTCTCCTCCAGCCTGTCGTAATCGATGAACCCCGTGTTCGAATCCACCTTGTAGGGCAAGCTCTCGAAATAGATCGAGGTAGCGCTGATCTTCTTCCCGCCGGAGGTGTAGTAGCCGTGGGTCAAATGGCCGCCGGAGGGCAGATCGAGCCCCATTATGCGGTCGTGGGGGTTGAGAACCGCCGTGTATGCGGCGAAATTGGCCGGCGAGCCGCTGTAGGGCTGGACATTGACGCCCCACTTGGTGGGGTCCAGGCGGTAGGCCTGGAGGGCGCGTGAGCGCGTGAGGTTCTCGATCTGGTCGATGTACTCGTTGCCTCCGTAGTAGCGGTTTCCGGGCATGCCCTCGGAGTACTTGTTGGTGAGGGCGCTGCCGAGGGCTTCAATTACGGCGAAGGAGGTGAAGTTCTCGGAGGCGATGAGCTCGATCCCGTGGCATTGGCGGCGCTTCTCCTTCTCGATGAGGTCGTGGATCTCAGGATCGACGGTGGATAGAGGGCTGTTGCCCCACTCTGAAACTGGATCCATTTCTACCGACAACTGGGTGTGGTGAAGGTGTGTGAGAGAGAAAAAGAGAAAACTAATGCGCGAGGGAGAGCAAGAGAGATGGGGATGATAAAAATGTGAGACAATGGAGGAGGGGAGTTTGGGTTGCATTTAAAGGAGTGTGCGACTTTGGTCGAATGACCATAATGTCCTGGGGTTGTTGGAAATATAAAATATCATCAATCATCGTTTTCCTTCTATTTTACTTCTTACTCGTACACCACTCTTACGAATTTTTTACACTAATAAAAATTAACTGGACAAACAAATAAAAAAAATATATACAAAAATTAAAATGACGTATTCTCGAAATACGAAATCTCATATTACATAAATAAAATATATTTTAGTTATACGTTTTACAAATAATTAAAAACTAAAACGTATTATCAAAATACGTTTTAATTCTTATTAATTATTTGTAAAATGTATAACTTTATACATTTTACAAATAATTAATAAGAATTAAAACGTATTTTTGATAATATGTTTTAAATTTTAAAATTAATGAATAAAAAATTAATATATAGTATGTGTTTTGTGATTTGGGTTCGTTTGAGCTCATCTGAACTCAGAATTGAGTTCCGTTTTTTCTATACGTAGCTAACGATCCCCTCTATTCAATGATGCATGTATGACCAAATTATTCTTGAAATCATATTCTCTCAAAGCTCTTGACCTACACATTAAACGTGTTTCGCGCGACTTTGCTTTTTGGGCCCGTTCGGACTCGTTCAAGCTCGAAATTGATTTCCACTTCTTCATATATGTCGCTAATGAACCCTTCTACACAACCATGATTTCCCGATCAATTTTCGGGCTGCTTCTATTCCTCACGTGCTAAATAATTAACAAATCACCCATTCTTTTATTTTTTTTCCGGCAAGTAATTGCCGTTATCGTGGGCCCCGCAGGGTCGCGTTACATTTCGCTTTACCGAAAAAGAAGTCGGGACGTGTAGACCATTCCCGCACGATGTCATTCGCGCCATTTATCGAGTATTTCGGACAGCAGATATTTTTTTTCTATTTCGTCATTACCGGCGAGCTTCATTTCATGCGGCGACTTCGGCTACCCCGTCGGCCCTCGTTAAGCGGGCCGAGCATTAGCGAGAGTGCTTTAGAGAAAGCACGAGTTAATTTGCCGAGTTCGAGCATCCGAGTGCAACAATATAATACTTATCTCTTCCTAAACTTTCTCTTTAAATAAGTCGATCATTACTTATGATCAAGTATTTCTCCACTCCAAATGGAGGTTTCCTAATCTTCTCAAGCTACTAAGGTTCTTCAACCTATAAAAACCATATGTGTTCTTGGTGGTCCTAAACTTGTCAATTTCCCTCATAATATCCATGTTGTAAGTCAACTGGTGAGAGAGTTGAGAAAACAGAAGATCAACTTACTGTATGGAGGAACTAGCATCATTTTCTTTGATAACCTTTTAATGGCTGCCACATGTTTTGATATAGAGATGAGAAGTATCCTCACTTTTTATATCACTTCAACAAAGGTTGTCAAAGATTCTACAACTTTGATGCTAATTCTTTCTATAGCTTATTCTTTCTATTTATGACTAAAAACTTATCTCATGCGTATTTCGCTTTCTGACACACAGATTGAAATCTCATCTCATACTCGCCACTCTTCTATAAACAGACTCGATAATCCTTCAATGTTCTTCATCAATGGTCCGAACTCACAAATGGATCTAGCACTCTCAAATATTCGCAAATTTTATTCATTTCTTTCACTTAATATCTGAGAGTGCTAGATCCATTTTATTCCTTTCTTATGATATTAAAATATATATCTTGCAACTTTTAAAATATGTAAGAGAAATATTTTTTTATTCAAATTTTAATTTTAAAGAACTAAGTTATTATTTATATTCAAAATGATATTTTTTTAATCGTAAGATATATTATGTGAATTTTTCTAATTCATATGTAATGAATTGATAGATGTCTTTTTGAATTGAAATATAATATTATTAATTTATAATTATTATTAAAATGACTTAATTTAATATAAATAAAAATAAAATTATTTATGATGTACTAATTGTCACGAACCAGATTAAGCCAATGGATCTTCGAACATTGGTCTACTTTGAGCTCCGGTGATCTACAATGCGTCGAGAGAGGGCAGATTGCTCAAGAATGCTTATAGTCGCGCACGCAAGAGAAAGGATCGGACAGCGGCCGAGGCACACGGCAACGAGGCATGCGCAAGCACGCAGGCGGCCGCTAGGAAGGAACGCAGACGCGCGCGGCAAGACGACGCGTCGTGAGACAGCGCACGCGGCAGCTGGCAGACCGCGCATGCGTGCAGCGTAGGGCACAAACAGAAAGTTGTGCACGGTAACTTGAGGAGCAAGTAACTGAAATTCTTCTAGAAGATATTGGCTGATTGCTGGAGACTTAATTGATTATTTTCCTTATTATTATCCTTAGTTCGTTTAGGGTTTGATTAAGGTGGGTATCATTAGGATTCTATGTAAAGATTGAGTTAGTTACTTTCCTAAGTGTAGGAGTTAGTTACGCCTTGTTTTCCTTTATTTCTTAGCATTGTAATTTCGTGATTTGGAGCATTTAAGACTTAAGAAAAATCAATCTTCAGATAATCTCTCTCGTGTGTAAGACTAGGCCCTAGTTCATGTTTTATCACGAACTATCGTGTGAACGGAAGGCCGTTAACGCACCTGTTCTTGCAAAATCATATCATAGGATATACGATCCTCATCATTGGTGCTTTCATTGAGAGCGTTGATCGTGTATCCTCTTTATTTTTTTAGTATTCAATTTTTATATGAAGGAAAAAAAATGAGCTTGTCATCATCATCATGATGGAAACAAACCGTGAAGGGCTCGACACCATGGAGGAGAAATTGGGGTCCTTGGGCAACGGTCAACACACCACGAATCAAAAAAATGGCTCGAACCGAGCAAATGGTGCACGACCTTGCCACACAATTCACACGATTCGCACAACGTTCATGGAGAAGAAGCAAATTTGAGTCGTCCTCGGCGAATTCGGCCGACTTGGAGATAAATCAAAACGATGTGGAGTGCGAGTTTGACGAACGGTCCCGGGGATCTAACTCGCCATGAGGAGCGGGGCGCCAATCACCGTGAAGAATGGAAGTTCGAGAAGCCAAATCTTGATTTTTCCACATTCAATGGACGAACCTAGACGCGTGGTTGAGTCGAGCCGACCAATACTTTGATATCAATGAGGTCCCTAAGGCTGAACGGGTGAGGTTTGCTGCATATTACCTCGACGGAGAGGTCAATGTCTAGTGGCAATGGATCTCACGTGTTAACAAGAAGAGGGACAAGCAGATCCGATAGAGGGATTTTGAAAAGGAGTTAATCACCAGGTTTGGATCATCTGGTTACCACAATTACGAAGATGCCTTATAACATATCAAACAAACGGGCAACCTTCAAGACTAACAAAAGGAGTCGAGCATATAGCGAGTCGCGTGCACAACTGCCCAGAGAGCACGCTCATCGGCGCGTTCTTCAGGGGTTTAAAACCCGATCTCATGCTGAGGTACGTTTGAAGAGGCCTTTGACGATACGAGCAGCCATGGAGGCCGTACCCATAAAGGATGACCACCTGGTTGCGGTGCGAAGGGCCAGGCGCGGAGACGCGCGCATCACCGAGCCGCGCTGCATAGCGCTAATCGTGCCCATCGTCAACCGGCGTGTGAGTGGGGTTTCTTCGAGAAATCTCAGACCTACGCCACTGGATTAAGTAGGCTCTCTTATTAAGAGATGAAGCGACAACGTGAAAAAGGGCTATGTTTCAATTGCGACGAAAAAATCATGTCGGGCCATCGATGCAAGCAAGCGTTCATGATCGAATTCACCGAATTCGACGAAGAGTAGCCCTTACTAGGTGAACTATAGAGGCTGAAACTGAGGTGCATGAAGATGATCCGGAGATATCGATTCATGCCATGGCCGGAACAAAAGGGCCGAGGACCATGTGGTTGCCCGCGTGGTTTCAAGACCAGCGAATTGTGGTAGTAGTCGACAACAGATCTTCTCACAGCTTTATCAATTCTTTGTTGTCACATAAGATAAAGTTACCGCCACTAATATAGATCCATTCTATGTGCACGTGGCCAATGGAGAGATTTTAAGGTGTTTGAAGTCTTTCTGTGGCGTACCAATCAAATTTCAAGGCGTGACTGTGAAGGCCAGTCTTTATGCCTTGCCCTTGGTTGGACCGGATGTGGTTTTTGGAGTCCAATGGCTGGAAGGTCTTGGTCTATTTACCATGGATTATGATATAGCCACATAAGGATAACCCGGTCTAGAAGTTCCCTACTCGACCGGTGAACCACTCAAACAACTCGTATGTCGACAGGACTCTGTCGACATCTTCACATTGACTTTCCTAAAGACAATTCTACTGAGAGCAATCGGAAAGAAGCAGAAATCGGCCTAGTCGACTCTCCCTAGTCGACCTTAGTCTATCGACTTTTACTAGTCGACATCAATGGAAGAAGGACAGCAGGAGCATAACGCATGGGCATCCCAGTATCCTTAGTCGACTTCCATTAGTCGACTCCACTATGACGACTCTCTGAAGACGACTTCACCACAGAGTTAAACCAAGCATAGCCTCCGAAATCGCATATATTCATAAGTCGACCTCTTAACTCTCGAGGTCGACTCTGTACATCTCGAGGATCAAAGCAGTGAAGACGATTCACTACACTTACAACATATCCGAAGCTCTACACATTACAAAGGATAAGAAGGAATCTTGTGATGACTCAGCAACAAGGGGAGACGAATCGCCCAGGGCATTTTGGACCTTATAGGTCCACCGACTTGGGCATTTTGGGCACTTCAAGTAAGTATCCACTCCTATATAAAGGAGGTGAGGTAACCCCAAACCCTAACTCTCATTCATTCCCACTCTCCCCCCATAGCTGCTGCGCAACATCTCTTCATCACTCTCATACTGACTTGAGCGTCGGAGGCTCTACGCCGGAAACACCTCCGGCGTTGATTTTTTGCAGGAATCTTGTGGTCTAGCAATAATTGGGAAGCGGTTCAAGCAAATCTGAGCTCACAACAACCGGTTTACTCCAGATCTAGAAGTAGACCCATCATTTGGCGCCGTTTGTGGGGAGTTCTTGAAGGAAGTAAGAGCTTCACACCCAGGTACGATCTGTTTACCGATGGCGGAAAAGGAAGGATTGTAGAGGAATCTGAACGAGGAGTTCAGAGGGACATGGATGGACAAGAGGCCACCACCGCTCTCCACCACCAAACACCCCGTGATGCAGATGATGGGGATACCACCATTTGGAGGACTTCCACCTCCAGGACTGACGTTGGGCGGAGAAACACCTGTAACTCCAACCGGCGTGAAGCTGCAAGTGTTGACCCAAGCAGGAACAAGTCGAAACCCTAACCCGGATGGGGAGAAGGAGTCGACGGAGATGTCTCGACGCGAGGGAAAACAGATACAAGAGATACCGGAGCAGACACAACCCCGAGTCGAAGAACAGACCTTGACAGTGACAAGGAGTGAAATGCAGAAGATGATTGCTGAAGCCGTGGCTGCCCAGATGAAGCAGATGGCGCAGGTCGAACAGCAGCCTCGAGTCGAATACCCACCCCGGGTCGAGCAACAGCCCTGTGTCGAGTACCCGCCTCGAGTCGAGCAGCAGCCGCATGGCGAGCAACAGGCCCAGTCAAATGTGTAACAGGACAGAAGGGTGGATGAAGAAGAATCCTCCATTCGAACTGTTAATCCACAGGCAAGGGACGAGACGTTAGAGCAACTACTGACTTGCAAGCTCGAGTTGGTGGGAGGAAGAGCAGAGGAGCCAAAGAACACCCATTCTCGCAGCAGATCCTGAGAGCCTACTTACCCAAAGGCTTCAGGGAGTTGAGCATATAGTATGACGGTACCACAGACCCGTCTCGACATCTGAGAAGCTTTGAGAACATGGCAGTGCTCCACCGCTACAGCGACCCAGTACAGTGTCGCGCCTTCTTGACGACTTTGACAGGGTCGGCCCAGGATTGGTTTCATCAACTTCCGGCGGGGTCGATTAGGGACTTTGATGGATTCAGTTCGAGTTTTCTTAAGCAATTTGCAAGTGTGAGGGTGCAAGAGAAATCCTATCTTTCGCTAATAAGTATGCAGCAAAAGAAAGGCGAGTCATTGCGAGAGTATGTCGCGAGATTTACAAAGGCGTGTGTCGAATGCCCGACAGCGACAGAGGAAATCAAATCGGAAGGACTGACGAGGGGACTACTACCCGGGTTGTGTAAAAACTCTTTGGCCAAGCGACCTGGTAAGAGTTTCGATGACGTGTTGGGAAGATGTGCCAAATACATGAATGTCGAGGAGGCCGAAGCCGACTATTTGCAAAGTGTGAAAATGTCCCTAGCTGAAAGTCGAGACGACAAGAAGAAGAAAAAGGGCCCATCGACAGGAGATAGAAGGGGATCACCGAGAGCTGATAGGGGTGAAGGCCGGTCTAGGGGATGGAGACCGACTCAATATACACCACTGTCGGCTCCTCATGCGAGAATTCTAGAAGTAATGGAGAGGGAGATCCGCGACGATGTGGTGAGATCGCCGCGGACGAGGAAGGACGGACCCACGAAACCCAAAAGCAACTTATATTGTCGATTCCACAAAGATTACGGGCACAACACTGACGATTGTGAACACTTGAAAGACGAGATTGAAAGGCTGATAAAGGCAGGCCACCTGAAAGAGTTCATATACAAAGATCGGGAGAGGTCGAGCAGGAGACGAGAAAGGAGCAAGAGTTCTCGCAAGAGGGCGAGATCACCAGACAATGAGGAACTCCCACCAAAAAGAGGAATAATTAACATGATTTTTGGAGGATCGACTGACGGAGATTCTAATCGAGCAAGAAAGGCCTATGCTCGAGGCCGATATGCGAAAGTCGAGGTGCAGCAGGTTGACGAGAATGGACCAGTGATGAACTTTGGACCGGCGGACGTTGGTAGAGTCGAGACACCACATAACGATGCCCTGATGATAACTGCGCAGATATCAGGATATGAGGTGCAAAGGGTGTTTATCGACACCGGAAGTTCCGTGAACGTGATCTTTTACGAATGCCTCAGAAGGATGGAGCTAGACATCGAACTTGCGCCTCTACATACATCACTCTTTGGATTTAATGGGTCGGAAGTCGCTCCCTTGGGAGAAACCACGCTTGCTGTCGTCTTAGGGGAGGGCGACTTGAGAAAAGTAAAAATGGTGAGGTTTGTGGTGGTCGACGTCGAGTCGGCTTACAAAGTGATTCTTGGAAGGCCGGCACTCAATGCTTTCCAAGCAGTCGTGTCGACCTATATATGAAGTTGAAGTTCCTTGTGGGAGATCGAGTGGGAGAGGCTCGAGGGGATCAGAAGCTGTCGAGAACCTGTTACCAGATCGCGGTCAAAACCAATCAACGTGCTGAGATCAAGGAAGGCAAGAAACCAATGACGAGCGAAAAGAGGCCGAGAGGGAGTGACCTCGAGCCCCACGGAGAATTGATGGAGATTCAAATAGGAGAGTCAAAAGGCCAAACCACAAAAGTCGGGAGAGAATTGGAGGACGAGTTGCGAGAGCAGTTGGTTGGGTTGCTAAAAGAATTCAGGGACATATTCGCTTTCTCTCCCGAAGAGTTAACGGGAATCAACCCGGAGGTTATGGAGCATAAACTCAATGTCGACCCCCTCAGAAAACCCCTATAACAGCCCAGTAAGGTTGACCCGTAGCGCGATATTGTCCGCTCTGGGTACTTTCATCCTTCCCCGCACGGTTTTGCCTTTGGGAGCAAGCTCACCAAAACGCGTCACACTAGTGAAGGTATCCACAGCCACTTATATGGCATGCTTCGTTCTCCTTCACAACCGATGTGGGATATTACATCCACCCCCCTCACAGGGGCCCAGCGTCCTCGCTGGCACATGGCCCGGGTACTGGCTCTGATACCACTATAACAGCCCAGCGTTCTAGACCCGTAGTGCGATATTGCAAATGGAGAAATTCTTATAATCTTTTCTTCTAGTAGTTTTGGAAGAACTGTGTCAGTGTAGTACTTGACAGATGACCATGCTTTTATCCTGAAGTTGTGAACGTTGCTCATATTATAGTCAAACCTCTCCATTATGTGGCCCGAAATTGTTCTAACTATCCGCACATCATTTTCTAGTGTTTTTATAAAGAAATCTTCATCATAAATATCACCAAATTTGCTTTGATCTCTCCAAATGCTGTGAAAGTGAAAGTTTAGAATGACAAGAGTTGCATTGAGGTAGCCTGCCACTGCCACAGCGTTGCATATTGATGTTCTCTGCTGATTTAGACCACCATTGGCCTCGACAAAAATATACCCATTTGATTCCGGTAAGCCTTTAGAAGACATGTTGATGCAAGGTCTCCATTCACCACTTTTATATGAGTGCTTCCATATTGTTAATATATGTGATTTAGAACTCCAACTACCAACATTTAGCAGATAAGGATTAATACATCAAAAACTCTGACGTAAAACACAGACCCGGCTATTTCTGTCACTAACATACCCGTACATACATATGCAGCAATTATACAAAGACAAGATTCACCTCTAAGATAAAAGAAAACCAACAATTCGGAGAAACAACCTTGGGATCACACATGATTCAAGGGCGAGTCGAGATAGTAAATTCAACTTAATTCCCAAGTTGATGAACTCTTTAAATCACACTTTTATTAAGCAATTTCCCCAAAAGATCGATCCTAAATTAATAGTTGAAAATTGATTCTAAGAGAATGATCAAGCAAATCATTCTCACACTCACAGAATCAGGAAAAGCATGAACAGCATCCTCAAAATGCAAAACATAATCAATGCATTTTTCATCAGAAAACGGCTTGGTAATATAAGTACAATGATGTCTCGATCTACCACTGCCTGATGTCCAAGGTTTCCATGATGTTAATGTTACTGAAATTACACTATCATTTCCCCCTGCGCTATCAAGCAGCAAAATGTTCTTTTTGTAATTTATCCACATTCAAGACTTAAGGAAGTTAATAAGGCTAATTCGAAACGTTTGGGAGCATAAACATAGTGTTTTCTCCACCTGCCTGGAAATCATTAAACAGCCTACAGTTTTTCACTAAACCTTAATAGGAACTTGATAAGACTAATCCGAAACTTCCCCGCACGGTTTTGCCTTTGGGAGCAAGCTAACCAAAACGCGTCACCTAAGGTAAGGCTAACCTTAACCCTGTGCACAGCGGTGCGTGGTGATATTGTCCCTGCTGGGTACTTTCATCCTTCCCCGCAGGGTTTTGTTCTGGCTTTGGCCCAGACGCGTCACACTAGTGAAGGTATCCACAGCCACTTATATGGCATGCTTCGTTCTCCTTCACAACCGATGTGGGATATTACATCCACCCCCCTCACAGAAATTCTCGAGGGCCAGGGTCAAGCCCAGGCCCAAGAGGGGGTTTGGAAATAGTTTTCAACCAGCAATAGAAGCGCCTCGGTTAGAACCTCACTAGCTGCGTCATGTTATCACGCAGGCACGTATTGAGGTTGATCCATCCAAGATATCTGCTATTCAAAATTGGTCCAGACCCAAGAATCCATCCGAGGTTCGTAGTTTTCTCGGTTTGGCGGGTTACTATCGCAGGTTTATTGAGGGATTTTCCAGAATTACCCTCCCATTATCTCAATTGACGAGGAAGTCCGTCACATTCAAGTGGACTGATCGCTGTGAGTCCAGTTTTCAGGAGCTCAAGAGGAAATTGACCACTGCACCCGTATTAATTATACCAGATCCTACTCGGAGTTTCACCATTTACAGTGATGCCTCGAGACAGGGTTTGGGATGTGTTCTAATGCAGGATGGCCAGGTCGTTGCTTATGCCTCTCGTCAATTAAAGCCGCATGAACAGAACTATCCTACACACGACTTGGAACTTGCAGCAGTGGTACATGCCCTCAAGATTTGGCGACATTATCTGTATGGCGGCAAATGCGAAATTTTCATTGATCATAAGAGCTTGCAATATATTTTTACTCAAAAAGAGCTCAACATGCGTCAGCGACGTTGGTTAGAACTTGTGAAAGATTATGATTGTACCATTCAATATCATCCAGAGAAAGCGACGCCTAGTGCCGAGGCCAGTCATGCCTAGCCCGTGTCCAGTGCCGTGCCATGGCCCAACAGGCCCGACACGGGACCAAACTCAGCCAGCCCGTGACCCCCAGTCCAGTGTGAACTGGTGGTCCAACCCGGTCCGGTCCAGCCCGACCCGGTTCATCTAATTAGCGAACCGGCCGGTTTAGCCGGCGATTCAAGTCCGTTTTGGTTCGTAATTTTCAGTCCGAATCTTATTCTAAAATTTAAATTATTTTCCGAGCCGAACCAGGTCAATTAAGCATATCAGTGTAATTTCCGGACTTAAAAAATATTTTGTGAACCTTTAGTGCGTTCCTTTATATCCGGATATCATATTAAATCGAGTCGAGCATCTTAACAGTTAAATTTATTGATCTGAGCATAGTACTTAGTAATTGTTTATATTATGTTACAGTTTGATCAGTTCACGACTATCAGCACTTCCAGTTCATATCTTCAGTATAGGTGGGGACTCAGACTGGGTATTACATTGATTATAATTACGATATCATGTTCAAGGTATGTCAATCATGTTTTCCGCTTGGAATGGATGTTGGCCGGTTCAGGTTGCCATAATTCCGTTCTAAGTTCTGGTGGCATCATCTACCACTAGTATGTGCACATGGATTCCGGCTTATTATTGTCATCATCATTATCATTAACATTATCATCATGACAGCCGGTAGATTCACAGATCCCGGTCCGGTTTATACTGTTGACCAGGAAATTCACGGTTATGTCATATGCTTTTGATCATGATGTTACTATTATTATTGCTGTTTACTTTAGTATGAGTTCCTACGGAGTACAGTGGTACACACTCCCCATTTTTATAAAATTTTTCAGGTCATGAAGTCGGTCCGGAGCTGTGAAGTTGACGGGTGGATCGAAGTTAAATATTTTGATGTATATTTTGACACGCTATATTCCGCTGAACTTACTGTTTGACAAACTTTGATTTTTGATCCGATTTCATAGTCGGATTGTATATTATGTAAATCCGTTTTTGTTGTAATTTTTTTTTAAACGGTCGTAACGGATTTCTAAAAGATAAAATAAATGTTTTAGTAACGCCCCGACTTAACTTAATTATCAGAGTACGTTTTAAAAGCAGCGACTCAGGCACCACGGCGCTGAAATCGACAAAGCCATCGAAGTCGAGGTGGACAAATTATTGAAGGCCAAACATATCAAGGAAATCCAATTCCCCGAATGGATATCTAACACAGTGATGGTGAGGAAGGCGTTGAACAAATGGCGCATGTGCATCGACTTTCATGACTTAAACCTGGCGTGTCCTAAAGATCATTATCCTTTGTCGAGAATCGACCAGCTAGTCGATTCCACGGCTGGTTGCGAGTTGCTGAGCATGATGGACGCATCTCAGGGATACCATCAAATCCCTCTGGCTCCGGAAGATCAGAGTAAAGTGAGTATCGTGACGAGTAAGGGGACATATTGTTACATTGTCATGCCCTTTGGCCTCAAAAATGCAGGAGCAACCTACCAGCGATTGATGGATCGAATGTTCAAACCCTAGATTGGTCGAAACATGGAGGTGTACGTTGACGATATCCTAGTGAAGAGCAAATCCTCGACTTCACACCCAGACGACTTAAGGGAAACCTTCAGCACCCTTAGAGCGTTTGGGATGAAGTTGAACCCGAGCAAATGTGCCTCTGGAGTGAAAGCGGGACGATTTTTGGGATATGTTGTCACAGAACGAGGAATCGAGGTAAACAGAGACAAGGTGAAGGCCATACTCGACATGACTCCACCGCTAAACATTTGAGAAGTCCAAGTGCTGACCGGAAGGATTGCAGGCTTGAGCAGATTCATCGCTCGGGCAGCCGAGAAGAGTTTTCCTTTTTTCAAACTACTTAAAAAGAAGACGGTATTCAAGTGGAGTGACGAGGCGCAGATGGCCTTTGAGAAGTTGAAAGAATTTCTGAGCGAGCTGCCCTTGCTGAGCAAACCAGAACCAGGTGACGAGTTGATTCTATATATCTCAGTGGGAGAGTTCGCTTTGAGTTCGGTGTTGCTGCGGGAAGACGGAAGTTCCCAACAGCCTATTTATTACACAAGTCGAGTACTTCAAAGTACGGAGACGAGATATTCAGAAGTCGAGAAAGCCGCCCTGACACTAGTTATAACAGCCAGAAAGCTGAGGCCTTATTTTTTTAATCATGCGATTGTGGTAAGAACGAACTTTCAGTTGGGAGAAACACTGGGTCGACCTACTGTCTCAGGTCGACTCGTGAAGTGGGCAGTTGAGCTGAGCGAATATTCTATCAAGTTCGAGCCGAGGCGAGCCATTAAAGCCCAGGCTCTAGCTGATTTCATTCAAGAAGGAACCAAAGGAGAAGAAAGGAGATGGACGATGCATGTCGATGGATCCTCGGCCGCAAAAGGATCTGGTTTGGGAGTCGTCCTCGTATCCCCCGAGGGCGAACAGCTCGACTTCGTGATTAGAATGGGGTTCAAAGCCTCAAACAATGAAGCTGAGTACGAGGCACTTATCAAGGGAATACACTTGGCAATTGGTGGCGGAGCAACAGAAATCGCAGCAAATTCCGACTTGCAACTCGTCGTCGGGCAAGTATTGGGAAATTGCGAAATTAAGGAGGACAGAATGCTGAATATGTCGAGGAAATTCAGAGCCTCATACAGGGGTTGGAAAAGTTCGAGTTGACGCAAGTCCCGCGAGAAGAGAACAGACGAGCCGATTGGCTCGCGAGAATTGCAAGCTCAAACGAAGGAAAGGTGGGAACTCACATCACTATGATGTACCTCGAGGGAAGTGTGTTGAGCGAAGCCATGGAAATTGACGAGAATGACGATTGGAGGAAGCCTATTCGAGAACTCTTGCAGGGTCGAGTCCCTACAGGAGACAAACAAGAAGCGGAAAAGATAGCCCGATATCTAAGCAAGTATTTCGAAGTCGACGGGGTCCTATAAAAGAAGTCGATAGTCGGACCTCATTTGAGATGTGTTTCCGAAGAAGAGGGAGTTCATGTTCTGAGAGAAATCCACGAAGGATGCTGCGGAGCACATGTCGGATCTCGAGCCCTAACTGGTAAAGCTCTGCGAGCAGGCTACTATTGGCCCAAAATTAGAGCGGCGGCCGAGAAGTTAGTCCAGAAGTGTGATAAATGCCAGCGTCATGGCCAAATCACTCATGTTCCAGCTGAATATATGACGACAATCAACTCTCCGATTCCCTTCGCACAATGGGGAATCGACTTGGTGG